ACTAGGATCATTAAAATAGTCATCATTCTTGTCTCCTTTTCTGTATTCTCAACAGCTATGTATGTTTACTGTTCTCAAACATCAATTAGTGTATGTATGACTACAATACAGTTCTTGTAGATCAGATATATTGTATTGTTCTACATCTTGTATTCCTTTTTTTTTGAAAATTGTCCCTACATTTGGTTTCCTAATCAACTCCATTTACTTATAGAACCATCATTTCATTTTTATTTAAGTACTGTTTGTTTCCTGTTATTGTAATGTAGATTAATATGACAGATTGAATTGATATATTCAACTACCCTTAGTTCATATTATTTATCCTATCGGTGGTCATATAAATTGATAATACTATATTTATTAAAAGTATATTGCAGTAGACCTAATAATTTAATTAGTGTAAGTCCAGAAAATGCATAAAATATGTAACAGGGTCATGCATCAAATCACTTGTCAATCGAAATTGCTAGTAGGTTTCTTGAAAATGTAATGCAGAAATAACTTGTTAATAATAACATCTCTAATGAATATCTTTCATCTTGTTGTAACAAAGAGTTTTGCGTTATAAATACTATGATTACTATCACTCTCTACTAGCCACGTCATGGTAACAAGGTGAGGCTTGACTCCATTAATTCAAGGGCTTTGACGTGTAGAAATTGATGTAGATGACATCGAAGTGAGCAGTGTTTTTAGTGTTCATGCTATCTTTTAACGTCCCTCTAGTATGAAAAAATCGTTTTTGAACACATAAATAGGGTTTCCGTATAGTCAAGCCTTCAGTAAACCTTAGTATACACCCTTGAAGGATTTTTTACAACACTACAAATGCTGACTTGATATAAACCTTATGACCAGTCTCAACCAAATGTTTCGCAATGGAGGAGGATGTCTATCCTGTGACCTTATTTGATCATTGGAATTCAGTTGTTTCTGTAGCTGTTTGGGTATGTGTTCCATCACGATCGCTCCTCCCTATGTACGTGTTTCCGCATATACATGTAAACTAATAGACAGAATGGGATGTGCCACAATAACTGACGTGCTGTTTGGGTTTTTGGCGAAACATAGACCTTGTGTTTTCAATAATTACAAGTTGAGCTGCATCAAGTGTCCTGTTGATGGCTAATTTAAGTCTCCGATTCAACATGAGACTAATTGAGTCACCTCTAAACGGTAACATAATATAAACCCGCTTTTTGGGTGCCGGAAGTGTCATAGGTCTAATCGTACTGGAACCCATCGATTTATAAACTTCAACGAATAACCTTTATTCATTAATGTTTCAGTCAAGAGCTTCGTCTCCACTTCAGTAGTATCGCTAGTGCAAATATGATTGATTCTATTGAATAAGCCATTTATTAATCCACGTTTGTAATCAATTAGGCAGTGACTATGGAAATTAAGATGTTTCCCTGTCCATGTCGGCTTTGTATACACAGGACGTTTGACGGAACCAATGTGTTTAGAAAAGTAAGTTGGTTATTCTTCGCATGTAGGACAAATATACTTTTGCCTTGTGTTGAGTTCTTTTAACAAGCGGTCCACATCTTCACGTTCATCGCCTATGATTATGTTATCACACTATCATTTACACAGACACATTTTTTGAATTGAGTCTTTAGTTAGATCTTCAACATATTATTGTTCAACAATTTCATTAGATTCGAGTGTACTTCTAATTCGTACGATCCATCGGAGTCAACATCAGCCATACATTTGCTTTTATCACTAAAAATGGATTCCATTTTCTTTTTGTAATCGGACTTATTAATAATAACAACACGAGGTTCTTTATCAGGCTTAAGTATAATACTATTGGCATTATTTCGTGATTCTTTTAATGACTTGAATTGCTGAGTAGTTAATATGCTTCTCGGCTTTGGTTCAGGAGAATGAAACTGGTGCGCTATATCCACCTGTTTAGCCCTGAACTAACTTTAATTCTCTAAGGATGAAGTGCCTAATGTACTCAATAGATCATAGAGGTTTGCGAATAGGGCACTGATAGTCGATACTGGGATTTATGTTGTACTTCCTTACTTAGTTAGGCCAACTTGGACTCCTGCAGGAGCATATGCCACCCACCAGCATGCTACATTCAACCCTGTCCCGAGTAGTCCTTTCAAGTCGCTATTCATTCTTTTTGTGTCTGCTTCCAATTATCGGCGCACTATGTTCTTCGACCCTCCCCTTTTTGTTTCCCCACAGGAATCCATGTTAGCGCTTGCCTTGTGATGCAGTTTTATGGTTTTCTCAATGTGTGTCCTATCCACGACATGGACGTCCCATGATGTCTTCATATCCAATGTTGTCCATTACAACTTCAGCGTTTAGGTCTCCTATCAGGATGGTGAGATCCTTTCTTGGGCATTCCACTATGATCGATTGCAGCCTCGAGTAGAACTGATCTTCATCGTCGCCGTTGCTATCATTGGTGGGTGCGTAACATTGGATAACATTCATTGTGATTCCCTCCTTTGTTTTGAAGGATGCTTTGATGATCCTGGATCCGTGAGATTCCCATCCTATAAGTGCATTTCGTGCTTCTTTGAACAGCGTCAGGGCAACTCCCTGAGTGTGCAAAGCATTCTCCTCTTTGTGACCGAAGTACAGCAGCATTTCTCCCGTATCTAGCCTTTTCTGTTGAGCTTGGGTCCAATGGGTTTCGCTGACTCCGAGCACCATCAAGTCGTATCTCCTCATTTCCGTTGCAGTTTGACTGGTTCTCCCAGTCTCCCACATTGTCTGGACATCCCATGTACCTATAAAAATTGTTGCTCTGGTTGTTAGAAGGGGCATCGGCCTCGTGGCTTCTGAAGAATCTCAGCTTGCACCATGAGGCGTCATAATTCTTCCTTCAACTCCCAGGGTAGAGTTTAAATTATTTATTCTGCTTAGCGTTTTTTAACAAGGTTTTTTTCTACGGGACGGGGTTGCCAACCCCTTCCTTTTCCCGGACTTGGGACCGGCAGTAGCGCTAGGAGAGCTACGGGCGGAGTTCGTGGCGTGAAATTGATTAATACACGCTGGATATCTTGGACCTTGATGTGAATCGATAAACTGGTAGATATTCAGTGATCTGACAACACCTTGGCAGATGTTCTAGTAATTTGTACATTCGGGCTCGTGAGCACCTACCCGTGTGGTTAAGCAAAGGTGTTGTCAAAACTGTTAACAGCTCCATCTTAGACCATTTAGTCCAAACAGGACATACAGCAAACATGGAGCAATCTTTTGCAGTAGTCTATCGTGTGAACAGCAGTCTACCTAATTCCATCAGACTGCGAATCCTACAGACGGCTGAAGCAATTGCTATTCGGATCAAAAAGCCAGAGCTTTGTATCCAAAAGAAGTATGTTCAGCCACTCCTTTTACCCTGGCCAACTAGCTAGTAATCAATCTTATAATATGGTGACGTAATCTGGTTAATGTTCATTTTATGTCCCAAACTTTATTACTATTATTATTATCATCACGGTTATTATTATTATTACTATTATTGTCTTTACACTTTATAACCCCTTTTTGAGGAATTTATTCAATATCCACCCCTGAATCTACTATATTTGACCTAATTATTTTACATATTACGTAATTTCCGATTTGTAATCACAACATTCTCTCTCTCTCTCTTACCCCATGTCGACCATATTTATTCTGATGATTTATCTCACAATTTCGCTTATAAACTGATTCAAGTTAACACTTCATATTAGTCAGCCCCAACATTGACGATTTTATTTTATATAACAAACAATTCCTGATTTATATATTACAATTTCCAAATGATGTATTTTGCCTTAAATCTAGCCAATTTTATGGACTATTAATCTGGTTTTTCAAAAACTAATTTGATATGGCAAACTATAGACATTTCTGTTCATACAGGTAATCTTTGAGTTTACAGTTCAATTAAATTGACCAACTTATCATTTAGGATTTCGTCTGTTGAATAAGATTTGTAATATTTAGTTGTAATTTACTTGAAAGAAGAATCTTACGTAGCTGGTTCGGGAATATGTGATTTGACGAACAAGATTTATAAAAGTGCAGTTTCACTCGTTCCAATTTAATTGTGCACTTGAGGTTAACTCGTTCATATAACTTTCTAATAACTTGTGTAGAGTCTTTTCAGAAATTTAAAACAGTCCCTTTGGTAAATTTTGATAGTGCAATGAGAAGGCGAAAGTTATCATTGCGAAACATTTGGTTGAGACTGTTCATAAAGTTGATAACAAGTCAGCATTTGTAGTGTTGTACAAAAGCCTTCAGGGGTGTATACTAAGGTTTATTGAAGCCTTGGCTATGCGGAGACTGATAGTCCTTATAGTATTTCAGAAAAAGATTTGCGTGTTAAGTTTCAGATTTCTTTGTTTGCTTGGGTTATATGGATTCGGACTACTTGGTTTGTTTCATTTTTATGCTCATATGTTTAGATGCTTTTTAATCTCAGCAGGTTTATCTTGGTTCTCCTCCCAACATTGAATACAAAACAGTTAGTATACTCTTATCTACTTATTCCAAATGTCTTATACAACGATTCCTGTTCTGCTTAACAACAACAGTACAAAATTTTGGATTGTGTAACCTACTTGATCATACAATAGAAAACTTAATGTGTTTGAAAATGTTAACAAATAATTGGTCATCATTATCTTCATAGCATCATGTGTATTTGCTTAAATTGTTAGTGTGAATACTGTGAATTAGGTTCAACGTTGGTTTCTGACAAAGATTAAACATTTAGAAAGCACTTATTGCGAGTTTGGTGTTATTCTATTGCCAGCCAGTGTGAAAATTCGCTACATATTTCATGAAAAAACTCATGGCAGTTTATCACGAAGTGATCAAGGAAAGTAGCACTGAAAGTGAATATTATATACGTCTTTTAATCAACCAACATGATCGTTTCGAATCTTTGGTGTTGTAAGTTGCAATTGTCGTCAAATTCATAATTTTACTTTGCATTATATTTTTTCTCCTTCCCCAATTAGCTTCTACAAATCCATTCACTGTTGGTTCGAAATCTGTAACTGGTGCAGCTTGTAATCCATTTATACCTAATCAGTCATTGAAACCATCACTGAATCAATTGGCACCAGCACCGGCACCTCTGTCAGGTCCAATTTATCATAACACAATGAATAATCCAATGTTCTATCAAGTTCGACCATATTATCCTGCTAGTGGTTCGGTCGCAACAGTACAACCCAGTTATATGGTGCCGATCAATACTGCAAGTGCATGGTCCGTTATTGATGGCTCTGGAAATAATATGATGCATCAACAACAGACAAGTAGTTTAAATCCATTTTATTAAAGATGATAATCATGATTATGCAACTGTGACTGTTATTTCCATTGTAGTATCGCATCACCACTGGAACTATTACTACTTTTGTTTGTGTTCAAATACTGGTTGCTTATTCCTTCATTGTCTCTTTCGGGTTGATTTTTTAAGAAAAGAAAACAGTTATTGATCTCTATTGCCTTCATTTTTCTTTTAAAATGCTAACCCCAAAGTATCATTGTCGTTTGACAGTTGTGCTGTTCTGTACAACATATACAGTACCAATTCCTATTGCACTCAATCGTTCTACACTTATTAGCTTTGATTTTCTTCGTCTTTCTCCCTTCTAAAGACAATCGATTCATAGCGTTTACTACATATTCTTTATCTTGTCAAGAATTAAGCTATCAGGGATCTCTCAACTCTTTCTATTTGCAGTATGTGATTATTGGCTACCATCAACATTTAAATCTTGCGTATTTAGGATCACTGTGCTTATGCAAAGTTTTTTATGTGTTTTATTCCGTTTTTTCTTCTGAAAACGATTACACTGCTGATGTTGTCGTTACTATTTTGAGCCTATTACAACACCTACTACTATCAGTGTTATCAAGTTATTATGAAATAAATTATTCTCCTTATCTTTTCTTGTGAAAAAGAATAGTTCTCCTCCCATTGAGACGCATTTTGCCGACACAGCCCCCTCCTTGATATCAGTATAACACGTTTACATATACTAAAAAAGAAACATAATTCATTTAGTGATAGTAATGTACATCGTATTTTTTCGGAAAGAATAAGTTCATTCAAAGACAAGTAATTCTACGAATGTTACTGAACCACCAGTTGAATGTTAAATAAAATTGTGAAATGCCATTCAATTACCAATATATATATATATATATATATATATATATATATATATATATATCAGTTTACTCTATGTTTATTTGTACTATTATTTCCTCTACTGATATTTTCACTTGAATTCTCATTCTTGTTTCTGCGTTCTTTTTCTAAATCACAATAAATGACTGGTTCAAAATGTTAATTATTTGTGTCACAACAACAACTACTACTAATATTGATAATCATGTATTGATTTATTGACTGATCAATAATTTCATCTGATTTCTTTATTATCATTGTTTACATCCTTACTAATCCTTTTACAATTAAACGCAGTCAAACTATTTTCTGTTTGACTGTACACATTGTGTGGAAAAAATACTTGTACTTTATTTCTTTATCGATCAACAGTGATTTGCTTGTTATTACCTACCATATATATTTGTGATTATGGATGCAATTATACCTGTTCCATGCATACCTACATGTTACTACTGATGTTTAATAATAATGATAATCGTCCGATTACTAACTAGTTTGTGCAAACACTTAATTCTAAAACTAATATCTATTAGGTACTAATAGCCAACGGCTAACTTTATGGACGTATAGTGAGACGACTCAAAAATTATGGATCACTAAGGTGCCAAGTCTAATATTTTCTGTCCAGCTTGGGTCCAATGGGTTTCACTTATTCCGAAAACCTCCACGTGGTATCCTCATTTCCGCGGTTATTCGACTAGTCCTCCAAGTCTCCCACATTTTCTGAACATTCTATGTACCTGTATTAATTGTTGATTACCAGAAGAATCATTGGTCTCCTGACTTCCGAAGCATCTAGGCATTCACCGTAAGGCGTTATAATTCTTCTAAATGAAGATCCTCCAATTCCCAAAGGAGGGTTTAGATGGATTCGTTTTGTTTACTACGAGATGAGGTTGCTGACCGTATGTACAACTCTCTATCCAGGCTTGAAACGGGCAGTAACCCTAGAAAGGTGATCTACTAAAATTCTTAAAAAGCCTTATAAGATAAGAAGGTTGAACAGGATTTTCTTGATCATGCATATTTCAAGCTTCTCTGTACGATTAGTGACAGTTTTCGGACCGCTGAAACTATGAAAACTAACTTTTTGGTCGGTTTGTACTCGAATACTTCGAAGTATGACTGTTTTGACTAGTCCGATATATAATCGAATTACTTCTGGAGCCGCCAATGTCCCATCCTAACCAGACAGAATATTGTTCGTGGAATCATAAATTAGTTCAAAAATGGTTTACAATCACGACGAGATTAAAAATTTTGTCATAAGACAACTGTCTGATAAATACACTTTTGGTAAGCATACTAAATAAATAATCACAAGATAAATAATTCACTCCCATCATCTTCATTTTCAAACACGCAGATGAATGTATTCTGTACAATAATACCACTTATTATCGACAGGTTTTCATTTTCAATGAAATAATTTCTTACCACAAAATACTACTTAATTATTTTGCAAATTGATTCAGTTCACCTGTCACTTTTCATTTTATGCCATTTACTTTATTAGCATAATTAAGCACAAAAATAAACTCTAAAGAGGAAGAATGTATTTGTAAAATCTCAGAGAAAGAATTTGGAATTACTTCAGATTCTTTCTCTGAGATTTTACAAATACCTTCTTTCTCTTTAATGTTTCACATTAACTCGGCGCCCAAATACTGTGAAATTATTCGATCAAATTTAGACGAAGGTTCTTAGAAATAAACTTTGTTCTCAACATAAATACGATAACAAAAAAAGAGAGAAATGTAGGCTTTCGTCAGTAATTTCAGATGTCCGTAGTTTTTTAGCGACCGAAGTAATAAAAAAGGTATCGGTATAAATTGGATCTTCATCTTCAACCGAAGTAATTTTGAAGCGGCTCCGTTATTCATGTTCAATGATATCATGGTGTTATCGGATAGTTTGATAAGACTGAATTACTGAACTGGCCAAAATGATAGTTTTACTGATGTGAAAGATCCTCGACTCAAAACCACGAACGATAATATACAATCTCAAAGTTAACTAATCGATCGGTGGAAACCAAGAATACAAACTTGAATAAGCTAACTTAATACTCTTAAGATTAAGCAGTAGTAGCGATTACACGCGTAGTAAATGTATACTATTGATAAAATCTGAACTGCGACGAAGATGTCTGGTGTTCAGGATTTTGAAGTGGTACTCAACTGTGGGATTATTACAATTTATAGTACCTAGCATTATCAAGTATCCTCAGTCGTACTGCTTATTCATGGAAATACAAACCTCCGTAATTCCTACTCCATAGAATGAGGACAGGAGACTGGTTCAAATAAAGATTAGTTGCTTCTGGAAAAAGGGCGTACGTTACAGGTCACCACTTGATGTTAGTGAACTTTAAGTGCTATCATGGTATTCATAGAAATAGTCATAAATAAGCAATAGCGTTACTTCACTCACAGACTTAAGTTTTTATAGTCTAATTGTTTGTTAAAACCTTTTCTATGGTAAATTACGACCATATGGTGGAATAATAGCATTATGAGAGAGATGAATTTATAGTAAATCAAAAATAGGATGTAGTTAAGTGAAAATCTAAAGATTGGAACTTTATCACTCCCACTAACCAAATTTACTATCAATTTGCTATTTGAAACACTACTTCAGTGTTGATCCAATACTCAGGATAATTACGAAATTGACGGATGATATGGAGTTGTAGGGTCAGTGAAATGTCTCTGAGCGCTACCTGATTCACTGAATATCTACCAGTTTATCGATTCACATCAAGGTCCAAGATATCCAGCGTGTATTAATCAATTTCACGCCACGAACTCCGCCCGTAGCTCTCCTAGCGCTACTGCCGGTCCCAAGTCCGGGAAAAGGAAGGGGTTGGCAACCCCGTCCCGTAGAAAAAAACCTTGTTAAAAAACGCTAAGCAGAATAAATAATTTAAACTCTACCCTGGGAGTTGAAGGAAGAATTATGACGCCTCATGGTGCAAGCTGAGATTCTTCAGAAGCCACGAGGCCGATGCCCCTTCTAACAACCAGAGCAACAATTTTTATAGGTACATGGGATGTCCAGACAATGTGGGAGACTGGGAGAACCAGTCAAACTGCAACGGAAATGAGGAGATACGACTTGATGGTGCTCGGAGTCAGCGAAACCCATTGGACCCAAGCTCAACAGAAAAGGCTAGATACGGGAGAAATGCTGCTGTACTTCGGTCACAAAGAGGAGAATGCTTTGCACACTCAGGGAGTTGCCCTGACGCTGTTCAAAGAAGCACGAAATGCACTTATAGGATGGGAATCTCACGGATCCAGGATCATCAAAGCATCCTTCAAAACAAAGGAGGGAATCACAATGAATGTTATCCAATGTTACGCACCCACCAATGATAGCAACGGCGACGATGAAGATCAGTTCTACTCGAGGCTGCAATCGATCATAGTGGAATGCCCAAGAAAGGATCTCACCATCCTGATAGGAGACCTAAACGCTGAAGTTGTAATGGACAACATTGGATATGAAGATATCATGGGACGACGTGGACTATGAGAAGTGAACGTCAATGGGGAGAGATTCGCAAACCGATATGCATTCAACATATTGGTTTTAGGCGGCACAACATTCCCACAGAAACACATACACAAAATTACATGGGCGTCACCGGACCACACGACGGGAGCTGACATTGCTTTAGATCACCACATGGTTGTGGCCGAAATGAAACTGAAGTTAAAGAAACACTGGACAGCTGGATAAACAGCATCACAAACGTTTAATAGAGCCTTCCTAAGGGACACTGACAAACTCAACGAATTCAAGATAACTCTCAACAACAGGTCCCATGCCTTACAGGATCTACTGAAACAAGGAAATACGATGGAGGACAACTAGAAAGTGATCAAAAAGGCACTAACTTCAACGTGTTAACAGGTGCTGGGCCGCAAGAAGTATCATCATAATGAATTGATCTTTATCGAAACCCTAGACAAGATTCAAGAAAGGAAGAACAATAGGATAGGATTCAACAACAGGAGAACGAGAACATGGAGAGTCAATACACAAGCTGAATACACAGAAACAGACAAAAGAGGAGCATTAGAGCCGACAAGCAGAAATACTTGGAAGAGCTGATAACGGCAGCGGAAAAAGCTGCAAGAAAAGGAAATGTGAGACAGCTCTATGACACAATGAAGAAACTAGTAGGAAAATATGTTAAACCATGGAGACCGGTCAAGAACAAAGAAGGCAAACCAATTACTGAAATTCAAGAACAGAAGAACTCTTGAATAGACCAGCTCCATTAAATCCACCGGATATCGAAGCAGCATACACAGACCTTCCTATAGGTGTCACTCCACTAACGATCGAAGGAATCAGGACGGACATCAGACAAATCAAGAGCGGGAAAGCAGAAGGATTCGACAATATACCAACCGAAGCACTATAGTCAGACATGGAAGTAAATGCAAGTATGTTCACGTTCTATTCAGGAAGATTTGGAAGGAACAAAAAGTCCCGAAGGACCGGGAAGAGGGACACCTCATCAAGATACCAAAGAAAGATCTGAGCAAAATGCGAGAACTACAGAGGCATCACACTTGTCAGTACCAAGAAAGATTTTCAGCGAGGTGTTGTTGAACCGTATGAAAGACTCAGTAGATGATCAACTTCGAGATCAACAAGCTGGATTCCGTAAGGACCGGTTGTGCACAGACCAAATCGCGACACTATGGATAATGGTCGCACAATCAATTGAATGGAACTCGTCACTACACATCAACTTTCTTGATTGTGAGAAAGCATTTGACAGTGTGGATAGGAGAACATTTCGGAAACTTCTTCGACATTATAAAATACCTGAGAAAATTGTCACCATCATTCGGAATTCATACGACGGACTACAGTGCAAACTCGTGCATGGAGGACAGCTGACAGACGCATTCCAAGTGATGATCGGTGCCAGATAAGGCGTTAGAAATGGATAGGACACACATTGAGAAAACCATCTGACTGCATCACGATGCAAGCGCTAACATGGATTCCTGTAGGGAAACGAAAAGGGGAAGGTCGAAGAACATAGTGCGCCGATAATTGGAAGCAGACACAAAAAGAATGAATAGCGACTTGAAAGGACTACTCGAGACAGGGTTGAATGTAGCATGCTGTCGGGTGGCCTATCCTTCTCCATCAGGGCTGAAAGATGCAACTAAAAGCTCACGCAACAGTGATCGGTTTATGTTCTTGTACCTATTCTTACTAATACATTTGTATCATTACATTCTGAATTAGTTATACTGGAATTAGATATCTTACTTCTTGGATAAGGATTATCAGCGCGTAAGTGTCTACACACTGATATACAGAAGATAATTTATCACGATCTAGATCTTGGCTTTGACACGATAGACTGACTGATTTAACATTGAGGCTAGAAACACGTGAGTTCGAAGACTAACTAACTGACTTGGGTAAAGAGTCGAGGACCATTCTATCACTTAATTGGCTGACAGGCACACTCGAGAGACAGAATGGGTCAACTGGGTCACTACTCCATTTATTACCGGTTCAAAGTAGTGTAAAAAGTTATATAAATAAATAGATGACCAACATGACCACAACGGACAAACAACTAGTAAAACACAATATGCTCAGAACTGGGGATTAGGTTCGAAATATATATTACTAAAGGTTACTTTTAAATTACGATATCTTTGTAACAGAAAAGGATGTGGCATTCCATCATACATAAGATGGAAGCTTGTGGTTTGTAGAATGAACTATGAACAAAACTGAATGTCAGTATCTTAAAAGCTTTGAAATACCGTCCTCGGAAAAAGACTCTCGTTGTTTGCCGTTGGATGATCGTCTACCGCCAAACTAATTGCACGATTCTTAGAAGACAAGTGTCAACACGCAGTCTTTTTATTCACCTTATAGAAATAGTCAAAGAAGTAAACAATGACAGGTTTAAGGTCAGCAAAAAACCAGTGAACATCGGGGTCTACAGGACAAGCTGTGAACCGTATGTGAAGAAATTCGAACACTTCACTTCTACCTGAAGTTTGTGCTTAGGATGTCGTCCAGAAGAACGATGAAAGCTCCACGACCAACCCGTCCACCTCAGAGAACAAATGTCCACCAAAATAGTCTTATCTACCCAGAATTTGTAATAACGAACGCGATAGATAAGCATTGCTTAGTTGCGTTATTAATGATATCGTATATTGGAATTTAGAAACAAATACAAATAGTTTTTGCGGATAATTTATGTCTTCATATTATTTGCTATAGCGATTCCGTTTTTTCTCTGTTCATCAAGTAAAAGTAGTACTTTCACTGAATGTTCTAAAAACAAGAAAAGAAACATTGGTCTTCTTCATAACGAACGTAACAACATAACAGCCAAAGTGTTTATAGAAGACAAACAAATACCATATGTCCTAGCAATTATCGAACCTCTGAATCATTAGTTCAATCTTAAACATGTATTACATACGAATGAAAGCGTAAAAATGTTTGCTAAATTAGAAAGTTAGTTATGTTTGTGATCGTTTGAGGAGCCAGCTGAAAATAAGATAGATAGGTTGGAATTATTCAAAAACAAAAACGTAAACATATAATCAGTTATTGATCGAAAGGGCCTTTACCTAACCCTTTATTTAGATTGTCATCCAAACTTATTTACTATATTTTTTGAGTTGTGCAAGACATTCTGGCTCGCAACATCCATCGCTTGTGTTATTTGGTTCTCTGAACAGGTTACACTTCAGAACCGTGAGCATAGAGCATCTATAAATATATTAAGACTGTTGCCCGACCGTAGCGCCTACCTTGATGCGGTGGTGGGGCTTGCCTATCGTGATGACCCGACAAAACTATATTGGCTGGAACATATGTTCCTATAGGTTCTACCATGCCAGGCAGGTCGATTGAAGAACGGTAGGACTAAAGGCAGCAACTCAAGGTCTGAGGGCGAAGTCGTACTGCTGACTGTAGAGGTGTGACAACAGTAAGGTGTTTCCCTCGGACAACCAGCATCTGCAGCGATGCTGCCTTCTCACAAGGAAGGAAGGGGTTAGAAAAGGTCGACCCTAAAAATGTCATACCTCACGGATTTCCGTCTCCGGCGTTAAGGCCCTGTGGAGAACGGAGCTAACACATTAAAAACCTCCCACAAAAAGGCCGTGCGCGACCATCCTCAAGCAGTTGTCCCTTGGGCTGTGTGGTCACGGAGATCATTTGTAGCTCGGTTGGATGCTTTTGGTAAAGCTTTCTGATCTCCAAGTAACCACTGATGTTGATTTTGTCCTGAACGACAACGAGAGGTTCATAATTAAGCCATCTACATAAGAACACCCGACATTACTATAAAATTGTATCTTCGATTACCGATGTATTTAAGCAAGAACTTGGTTGAAATCTTCCAATTTTTGGACGCACTTCAAATATACTTTATTTATAGGACTTTTTGTAATGATGTAAATCGTTAGGAATTCTAACAGATAGATTATTTTTTTTAGCTAGGTATCATATTTATATCACCGAATACTTAGCTTTTGTTTCACTTTTCAAATAAATGTCAGTATCGTTCAGAAAAACGTTACTATTCTGCAAAATATCATATTATGTTAATTAATATTGTGTTGAAAGCAACAGTTTGGTGGTTAAAGGTTTCAAAGTTTTAGATCCTTGAAGTATACTTCAAGTTGTTTAATTGGTCTGGGCCTGATAGTATCCCTGACCGTTGCACGAACAATGGGGTTTAAAGTCAACTAAATAAAAACCTGTATTTTGTGAATGAGTTGCAATATTTTTAAACTATCTATATTTTCAATAGATCAACCAAATATTCCAACACATTCTACAACAAGTAATTCCGATGAAATGTGGAATTTGGAATCAACCTTAGGTGCTACATTACCGTCCACTTCTAATACAAACACCGAGTCAGTTATTTCTAACCATCATCATCATACCAACAGTGGTAGCAATCTCAATAATAACAATGGGCATTTTGATTTTGATTTGAATGGGACTTCAAATAATATGAATGATCACTTTCCGCAGCAGTTTCAACAGCAGTCCACTTTTCAAAATGCACAAACATCTTTAACTATAGAACAACAACAACATCAAGAACAACAGACTGTACGTAAACGAACTCCTGCTGACTTTTTAGGTGAACATCAGAAATTAGTTGACTTGGAAAAGCTGATTGAAAAAAATCCAGGTAATTCCTTGCAAAATTGTTTTATTGTTTACAATCTATTCACATGTTTGATTTCTCAAATTTTACTGGTTCAGTGGTAGTTAATACTCTTACTCCATTTATCTTGAACTCTATCAATTTATTTATGGTATGGATATCAGTCTCGATTTAAATAGCTCGGTGATGGTAATCTTTTGTAATTGTGACATCGGGTAACAAAAGTTAGAATTCCATACGGTGCATGAGCTCCCCTGACACTTTAGATACATCTTGTTGACAAGTGGCAACTTTCATGGACGCCTAAACATACTACAACTCACCAAGTACAGTCTTATGTAGTAGACTTTGACCCATATACTGTTTGTATGAGGACTATTCGGTTGCCCGAAGCAAATCAGGTTGAGTGCGGTACGAACCTCTGAGGTGCTAGTTAAGTCTAGTAAATTAACCATCAAACTACTTGTCTTTAGTCAACTTTCAAAGTAAACTATCGACAATTCTCATCAAAACTGAAATTAAAGCAGACTTCTGGTTCTTTTTCGATTCACACATCCCAGATGATGTTCTTAATTTAAAGATAGTTCCTAAAAATTATGTTTTTAACTGTAAGAAAAATCCTTCTATCTATTTTTAAAGTTTACATGTTTAAATTGTGCAAATGAGAACTACGAACCTATGAAATCATGATAATTGATTACTACATTAATCTGACCGCTCAGAAAAGTGTAGGTAATTATTATATCTGACGAAGATTAAATGAATAGTAAGTGCCTGGATTAATTTACGGATTATTATTGTATATACTCTTATTGTATAATTATAAAGTAACTAGATTATATATATATTCCTTTTATCATGGGATTTCCCTTGACCAATTAGTTACTTTTATGTTATTTACTACTCTTAATCTGCTGCCAGCTTATTATTAATATCAGTCCCCCCTACTCATAGTCACTCCTCGGCTCGATCACATATAATTGTTGTTTTCCATCTTATGATGTGGTGTGGTCGAATATGTTTGTATATAAAATACGCATGCTTGGAACAATATTTGTGTGGTGGAGGATGGTTAATTTGTTCTGGACTCAACGGGCAGAGCAGGAAGAGAAGCTACTGTATCGGTGATCAATATGGACTTGGCAGTGAATCAAAGCTACGAGTCTTGGTTGGCTTAGAAGCTAAGTGATAGAAATCAAGATTCTGAATTGTTTTTTGTCACATGATATTAGTGGCGCCTATAAATCATAACAGTAACGAAAGTGAGGTAGAAATCGGTTATAAAACATTATCTTTTCATTCTTATACTGATCTGTCAGTAAGGCCACATAATTGTAACACTCATTCAATAAACGGTACTTCACTCACAATTAGCGTCTTTGCACGATCGGCATTTGTAGTGTTTATTACATTTTGAACCATCATGTAGATCAAGTCCCTGGTGCGCCTATCAGTCTTTAGACTGTCAACATACCGAAGTAGCGGTAAACCAAAATACTTTCCACAGTTTAACAGAACCTTTAAGTATTTATTTCAGTTCATGCAAACGGCTGTGAATACAAATCTTATATTCTTTATTATGGATGCTTTAAAAATGTTGCATGGGAAAGTCAGCAATTAATAGGTTTTGATTCTTCCAGAAATACCTGAATAGAAAATTGTGTTAGGGGCCATTTCTGTGGCTTGAGAGCATGACTGCAGTGCCAAAAGTATAACCGCCCGCGGTCTTTCGCACATTAGCTTTTCGTGAGTAATTTTCATGTTAGCTCTGTGTTGTTAATTCCTTACCACCGGTAACGGATATCCGTGGGATAAGGCGAGGTGTGCATGTTTAGGGTCAACCTCCTCTAACCCCTCTACTACTTATGGGAGTGCATAATCGCCGTTTTGCTGATTTTCTGAAGGAAACGCCTTACTGCCACTACAATTCTGTACAGTCAGCAGTGCGATTTAGCTCCTGGACCTTAGGTTTGCTGATTTTAGTCTTACCGTTCTTTAACCGACCTGTCTGGCGTGATAGGACCTTGGGGAACGATTTTTCCAACCAGTATAGCTCGATTGGTTCATTACGATAGGCAATTCCGACCACTACTACAAGATAGCGGCAACAGCCGGGGGTCAGACGTTTACATATGACCTGGTCGTGGCTGCATCGACCACATATTCACCATTCGTCAGGTTCTAGAACATAGGCATACTTATCGGCGTCCGGCAATGGTGGTCTTTCTCGACTTAAAAGCAGCATTTGACTCGGTAGACCGCGAGATTCTGTGGCAGTGTCTGTCATTGAAAGGCGTACCACAGAAGTACATAAACCTTGTGAAGGCTCTTTACTCGAACACTACTAGTCGAGTCAGAGCTTATGGCGAACTGTCATCTACTTTTGCAACCTCAAGTGGTGTCCGTCAAGGCTGTCCACTTTCTCCATTTCTGTTTAACTTCATCATAGACCTATTGATGGAAAGAACATTCTCGTCTATTGAATTCTCGGGTGTTGATCTCCTTCCAGGAGGTCCACTTATCGACTTAGAATACGCAGATGACATAGTCCTCTTTGGTGAAGACGCTGACAAAATGCAGAGTCTTCTGGTAGCACTGAGCAACAATGCCAACAATGCTAGGACCTTGGGGAACGATTTTTCCAGCCAGTATAGCTCGATTGGTTCATTACGATAGGCAATTCCGACCACTACTTCAAGATAGCGGCAACAGCCGGGGCTCAGACGTTTACATATGACATAGGGCATATGTAAACGTCTGAAGCTTTGTAATGTTCCATTGCTGACACCCAAAACTGCAGCTGGCGAGTCTCTGTTGTCAGATGTGCATTTTGAGTGGATTGCAACGATAAAGCCTTAAGTCATAGGTTTTTGTCGTATTTGATATGGAGTCACTAGACAAAGTGTTGGTGTTTGAAGCGACTTTTTTAATATAAATGCATTCTGTGGCAACCGGGCAACAAAACCAAATATACGCCATAAAAGTAAGTAAAGGGAATTATGAAGATTTAGGAGTATAGTCAGAAACAAATCAAATAATAAAATTGAATGAGACTAGTATATGATGGTGCAATCCAGCCGGAAACACAAGCAAAGAAAGTTCCTTCAATCTTTTATCAAGAATTCAAAAGCAAACTACCACAATGATCTCCATTGGTTTTTATTTTGATCCATGTCTGACAATGTTTCAAACCACTGAGCTGCACCAATCCCAACACCCTAACCAGGGAGTCGTGATGGGCTGACAGATGCCAGTCCTGTACGGCTTCTCATACCACAGCACCATATCGTAAAATGACCAACTCTTCGCTCTTTCTAATAATAATAATAATAATATATTTCTGCATGTGCAGGTACACACCGTTTTTACAGGCATGATCTATAAATTACAACATTTGTTGGTTCGCAAAATGCTTCCCAACTTATTAAGTTTATAGTTGTTATAAAGTGAAATCGTAGAGCGCTTGCTGTAAACTATGACCTTGAGAGGACGCGTACGTTAAGTTTGCTCCAAACGTCAGAAGTTTCATAGCTGTGCTCTCAGAGCAAGATTCTGAAGGAGAAAAAAAAGAAACAGAGGAGCAGCAAGGAACTTGGATATGAACGCCAAAGGTTGCTTAACATTGTGTAGTAGGACGGACAGAGGTATAATAAATTAGAATAAATTCATATTATGTCTTGTTAGAGTGAAATGAAGTCAGAGGCTCCATATTAGAGAATGTACTAATAAAGAACAACGAGTAGTGATGTTTAACAAGTTGGAGTAAGCTCACATAAAGGAAGGGAAGTCAAGGTTGGTACAAGGGAAGCGGTTTATTAGAAGGGTGTGTATATATAGGGTGAAGTGTTAAGAATACTAGTGACTATATCTTTTATTGTCCTTTTTCTTTTCTTTTTTTGTCCATCCGATGTCAGCCACGCAATCCTAGTGTAAAAGTCCGAGTTAGCATGTTATAGGTTGTCTTAGTAGAATAGCTAATCCAGCATATTATTGGAAACATGAGTCTGAGTGGTGAGCGTAGGAAGACAATCTATATCTTAGATTGACTGTCTTATTCTCAATTATAAAGAGCCTGATACATACAAAATGTTCTGTCCCCACAAACACGGGTGGATTGAAGTTATCGCCCTCACCATCAATGCTTGCTGGTCAGTAACTCCACCCTCCCTCCTTTTGTGATGTGAACTCATTTAGGCTTATTTTTGTATTTACGTCATACCTCACACAATCCTCTGTTTCACAACTTGTTGGAAAGCACTATTTCTATAAGTACCATTTTACAAGCTTATCAGGCAGTTACAAGCTGTGGACTGTGGGTAACGCATCGATGCAGTGCCTCTGTTGACTATAGTATAAAGTATAGTTTGCCAAACAGAGTATAAGCGTTAAGAAGGGTATATTGTAGGATAGTTGTTTATTTAAGCAGGCGGAAAAAGTATAGAAGTATGAGTTGTGGATAAGGGAACGAGTGGAGAAATAATATTAATTGCTAGTCAACATTGTGTACAGAAGAGTAAAAAGTTAATATAGGATAAACAGGAAGGAACTCACAGTAACTTGATGCTGATGTTATTTTCTGTTGTCTTAACCAGTTGATTGGCAACAGGTTCCATAGATGCAAGACCACTGGTAGTAGGCAGCCGATTTTGGGGTCCTCTTGACTTTTTAGGGTGGTAGTGAGTGTCCCTTATCGACCGAGTTTAGTTTAACAGTAATGATAGGTCCAGTGAGTTACCTGTCTACTTCAAGTGAAGAAATGGGGTGGAAAAAGTAATTAATACAACCGCAAAGTAGGAAAAATAAGGCAAACTGAACTTGAAGTCCATTTTGGTCTAGACATGGAGAGAGCCTATGATGTCTGAGTGGGGTGCAGATGTGTTCGTACGTGCAAGATCAGTGCGAGTGAGGGCTTGATCAAGCAGTTTCACAAACGTATGTAGTTCATCTGCCATGCGAGTCTCGGAAGGAAGACTGTTCCATATTATTGCATACTTGGTGAGGAAGAAGTTTTCCCGAGTTTTTGATCTGTATTTCTCAACTTTGACCGTAGATACTTTGTTTCGAAGTTCGTATTTATGTGAATCTCGGGCAAGAATTATCTGAC